TGGCTGGATTAGTTTGCCGCGCGGGACCGCCCGCTCGATGAACCGTTTACCAGGCAAGCAGCCGAACGAATTGGCTACCTATTCGCTACCAGTGGCTTCCCGGACTCGATGCTCTCCTGCTCCGTTGTGATTAACTAAGGTTTAATCAGCTTTATAAGCTAAACTTCTTTTGTCAACATGCAAGCTCATGATAATCCTCGGTTATCTATCCAGGCTACTCGATAGTTGAAAAAACACTTGGAACACGCTCGCCATCGAAAGCGTAACAACGAAGCGCAGAGGTGCATCATCACGAACGAAAGCGTCACATTGGAAATTCTCCGGTTTATAGGAGCAAACGTCGCGTCGCGTCGCGTCGCGTCGCGTTGCGTCGCCTTGAACACGGGCAACTCGCAGCATATACTCGGCTTTCGTATGCGTTCCTGATCGCGGTATTCGTAGCACGTCAGACGCGCTTCTCTCGATTTCAAGTTTCACGCATGATCATCTATCTAAATATGTATCTCTTGTTAAAATTGACGGCGAAGTTTGGCGAAGAACTGAAAACGTGAAGGAAGATCTATCGCGTGGAAATTGAACGTCTAGAAGAATTTGGAAAGTAGGAAGAAGAGGTGGAAGAGAAGAGTGACATCGACTCGCAACGTTGATACTGATTGGAAGAGTGGAGAAAGCATCGGTGAATTTTTCGAGGTACGTAATTGGCCGAATGGTTTGGAACATGGTTTGAAAGACGAACAGCGTAGGAAGAACAACGAAGGAGAACGGTCCTGGTCGATTATTAAGGCTTGCCGTAATAACGCGTTGGAAAGCGAACGGTTGCACGCACCGCACCGATCTCGAGGAACGCCGATGCCCTCGAGTGGCCGGAGAACAACTTTCAGCGCGGCGAACTGCTCCCCTGCCGCCCCCGACACTCATGGGAACGTCCTCAGGGCGATGCGCCGAGAAGCAGCCAACGTTCGTCCAATGTTCGCGCCTCTTCTCTCCAACTTGATTCTCGAGGGAGAGGATCGT